TATTTTTTTCTTCTACTTCTATCATTTAATTAATTAATTATTTAATTTATTTAAAATTTAATAACTATAAAATTAAAATTGTATGATAGATAAAATTATTTTTAATATCTTGTGATTTTTCAAATTACGTGATCTTTTTCAGTAGGGTATAATTTAATCGGAACAAAGCTCGCTAAACGTCAATTAATATAAATATAATTAATATATATTTGTTTGATATATGTGATATTATTTTTGTTTTTGCTCTAGTAAAAACATAACAGTCTAAAAAAGAAAATAGCAAGCAAATAAAAATATTATAATAAGTTTATAAGGTATGAAAAATATAATACAAGATTATGTACCTGTCACACTTTTTGTTTTAAAAATTTTAATAAAAAATTTATTTGAAATTTCTTTAGTTATTACATATCTATATAGCTTCTTAATTATTCTATCAATATGTAATTATGTAACATCGAAATGAAAATTTAAATTAAATAAAGTGTTTTTCAACTTTTTAACTTAATGACTATGTACGAGGGCAAGGTGAAAAGTAACCGACCTCAACATGAAAACATGAACTATGTACAAAGTTTTTAGTTAAGTACCAAGTGTTATATATCAAATTACTCGCATTGAAAATATCTATAATTTTTCCTTTGACCACTTTGCTAAACAATTCACAGCTAAAAAATTATAGTCAAAAAACCATAAGAAGAAAAAAAGCAAAAAACGAAAATTTAAGAAAAAAAGTACGACTTGTTGTTGAAGATGCCGTCATCGAAGTCAAACTTTTCGGTATATATTCAAGTGTTATATATCATATTGCTCACATTAAAGGTGGCTACAATTTCTGCCTTGACCATTTTTCTCTACAGGTTAGCATAGGTTCGGTAGGCTTATAAGTTGCTGCGGCAGATTTGAAAAAAAGCGCTAACATATTTTTTGACTCTAACTTTTTAGCTATGAATTGTTCAGAAAAGTGGTCAAAGTATAAATTATAGATATTTTTAATACGAGTAATTTGATATATAACACTTGGTACTTAACTAAAAACTTTGTACATAGTTCATGTTTTCATGTTGAGGTCGGTTACTTTTCACCTTGCCCTCGTACTCTTAAATCAAATTACTTTATCTTTATAATTTTTTTAAATTACCATTTTACCAGTCTCCATAAATTACTGACTAATTTACCGTAAATTACCGAGTAAATTATCATAAAATTGGTCATTTTCATCTCTAGTAGCAAGATATGTATATAAAAACTGCCTCTGTACAAAATTAGACTTGACATATATCGACTGTTAAATTATGAAAAAAAAATTTTTACTCCCTATTCTTACTATTGCAATAATAAAACAAATTTTGTATCATAATTTTTTCCTATTTTTATAATCCATGAAAAATTAGAAAGAAGCGATATTCTGTACTAAAAGTTGGCAATAAAAAATACCGGAAAACATTCCTAGTATTTTTTACAGATTTATAAAATAGAAATTCTAATTTTTAAAAAGAAATTAGAAGAATTTAGAAGATTTTTTAGAAAATTTTTTAGAAAATTAGAAGATTTTTAAAAAATTAGAACTGCCAATTATAAAAAGTATAAATAATGTACTTTTGTGCAAAAACTTGAGAAAATTACATATTTTCAATTTTTTGTTATTAACGTTTATTTATTAAGTCTAAAATAATTTGGAAGGTTCCGATAGCACACCTCGCTAATTAGCCAATTTGAAATAAAATATTCATATTAATAGAGCAATGAAAAATTACTAAACACCGGCCGATGTAAGTGGATGTGTATCGTACTGTGCGCTAACGGAACCCTTCCAATAATTTGAGGTTGAAATAATGTTGGAAAGATATTGTCACAAAAAAACATGAAATCACTTGATGATTTTCATTTAAACATTGACAATTATAAACTTAGTGAATTATTAAAAATGTTTCTTGATGACTGAAATATCACTGATATTTTAATAATTTTTCGTGGATTAGAAAAAAAATTACGATAAAAAATGTTTTTGATTACCATTACCACAATAGTACCTAAAGTTAAGGGGTGAAAACTTTTCTTTCATAAAAGTCTAACAATCGACGTACATCAAGTCTAAATTGGTATAGGGGCTCTTTTCATGTACATATTTGCTATATCCTTTATTTTCTTTAATTTTAGTGTTGATATTAATACTACGTTTTTAAATTCAGAAATATAAAAGTATTTGCAATTTTCTTACAATTTACAGAAACTTAAATATCTCGGTGAAAAAAAATCGTAGAAAAGTTTCCAAAAATACATTTAAAAGAAAAAAAAGAGCTTTAAACATTTTTTTCTCGCTCGGTAACAATTTTTATAAAAATTTTTATAAATTAACGTTCAAAATAGTTTTTACAAAAATTTGAAAAAATTATATGAATCAATCATAATTATAATAAACATTCTTCCTCTTTTTATTTTATTTTATGATCTATTTCATATGTAATATAATCGGGACTTCAATTCAGATTCCAACACTGAATATTGACAAACATTATCCAAAACGATGTTATCGAATTGCACTCACATTAAAAAACAGGAATTCAAGGCTTAAGGACATATCGCATTTGTGAAATGTTCCACTGTAACGAACTATATACGTAATGTTAATCATTTGAGATCAATCATTTTTTTCATATCATTATTACAAAAAGACCTGCATGTTCAATTTTATATGTTAATACTGTATGTTCTTCATATAATAAATTCATGATATATTGTTAATAATCTCAAATTGTTAATAACCTCTTGCTCGATTATAGATTATATAGATTACTTTATATACTTGCTTTGCAAAATACGAGCGTTTTTTATATCTTTTTATTTTTTTTCACAAACTTTTAGTATCGAAGTTAAAAACATTTTAGAAAAAGTAAATTTTTACACAATAAAATTTTACGGAATAAAAAATACAATATCTATGCGAAAAATCATATCAATTATTTTTATTAAAAAAAACTTAGAAAGTCTACTTTAAAATACTTATTTGTTACATTTTATCCGACGAAGTTTCATGCAGGTATAGCGCTTCAATAAATAATAAAAAATATTAAAATCAATTTTCAATTTTATATAATTCAGGAAAAAAATATCGCAAATACAAAATTCGAATGCCATTTTGAATGGTGTTTTTGTCTTTACATTGTGTTTTTAAAAATTTCTCCAAAATTTTTTTTATCAAGATATTTAAGTTTTTGTAAAATGCGAGACAATTACAAGCGTTCCGGAATTTATGAACAATAATGTACACTTACCCAAAAAAGTAAGAAAAGAGCTTTTGTAGACAAGTAAAAAAAAAAGAGATGTTTTTAAAAGTGAGAAAAAGCGAGAAAGATGAGTCGCTCCCATGTCTATTCCGGTTCACAAGTACTTGCTTCCAAATCAGTTCTTAATCATTTCCCATATTCATCAGATTTGACATTATATGACTATTTTTTCTTCCGATTAAATTAAAAATGAAACTAAAGAGAGAGTAGTTCAACTTTATTTAGGATATTCAAAAGGTTTCGACCAAAGCCATTTCAACCATCTCATAGGAAAACTTTTAGCGGAATTTTAAAGCTATAACAACCATTGCAAATATTTTTTTCGAAGAGCTATACTTTGAATAATTAAATAAAAATTTATAATTATTACTTTAGAGTTGGTACTTTAGAGTGAGTTATAATGAAAGTTCGAAAACTTTTAGAATAAACCGTGTTTATCTAAATGCAATGGAAAATTCAATCAACTTTAATAATAAAATAATGTATGTATATTCTCTCTGTTAAATAATGTGACATTACTATTATTAGGCATATTTAACTATTTAGGCATATTAACATATTGTTTTTACATTCAACTTTGCTAATTTCATGTATAGCAACTTTTAATATGCATTAATCTAGTGTAGTACGAGTAACTGAATTTGAAAATCAATGCAAATCCTTCAAATCATTTTTATAAGTGGGAATAAATTTCAAATTAAAAAATAATAAATAAAAAGGTAAAAATAAAATAGCAAAAATGAACAAGAATAATAAATAAATATATGAAATGTTATTTTTATGATATGTCATTTAATATCTTCGATAATCTAAAGATAGAAAAGGATGCCTTATAAAATGCCTAAATATCGCACTTTATACGGAAAAAGTGGATTTGGAAGCCGGATTTATGAAACCTCCGTATCTCGTATTACTGCCAAGCGTGCTCCAGCATTCAATCGATCGAACGGCGTGCGATTTTCCACGTGCTCTTTCTTGGCTCTTGAATCCCATCTCTCCTCGAATAATGTGCGAGTAGAGAAAAAATAAAAACACTTTTCTCATATAAATCCAAATTATCGATTGAGCTTACTTGTAATTTGATTGAGAGATTATTAACAACATCCATAATCTCGCGTATAATAGATGGCCCGATCTCGGGAGTTAGTCTAATCGATTGATTTGACACTACTATGTTTCCTGGTACGATATTTTATTATATAAATATTTCCAACAAAGACCTCTCTGTGAAAGACACACATCCATCGAAATTTAACTTTAAATCATTTCTCATTCCATCTTCTTTTACAGAGGGAGAGGGGAGAGGAGAGAGAAAGGGAAGGAGGGAGGGAGGGAGGGAGGGAAGGAGAGAGAGACTACACGACAATCGTTGCCTGATGTCTTTACTTATCGCTGCGCTTTTCGTAGAAAAGAAATCGAAGCGAGTTTCCCATCCTGAACATTTTCCCACGCTTCTCTAGTTCTCTCTCGTGTATTTTCACTCTCGATGTGAACAGAGCGTCAAAACTAAGCTATGTTCAGATTCTCACTCGAATGCCACTCAGGTATCACTCCATCCTTGTTATTTACCAAACATTAAAGAAGGATGGCATGACATCTAAGGAACACCTGGGTGAGAACTCGAACATGCCCTGAAAACGAGCATCTGTACGAATGCTCTGCACGGAGGCGCGTCTCGTTGCACTTTTCTCCCTTCCCTTTTCCTTTACTCACCGGACTCATCGACGCCGGCTGTGCCGAGCACGAGGAGGCACAAAAGCAGCGACGCCAACGACGTAACACCGCCGCTCCAGAATAACATGGCGGTCGGATGGACGCCGTGGAGAGACGAACAGCCGTGCGGATGTGCACGTCGGCGAGAATCGTCGCCAACGCTCACCTTTCACTCTTCCCGATGGGCCGATCCAGTAGTATCCAAGCCCCCTTCCACTGCTACCTCACCTAACACGCGCTTCCTGCGTCCACGTCCACGTCGCCCTCACCCTTCTCGTATGGCGCGTCGACCACCCCTTATCCGGGGTACCCCCGGCTTCCGCGATGCCGCTCTCACAGGTCTTCCATAGTCTTCCGTGCATGCATCGCCGCGGAATATCTGAAAGAATCCTCGTAGATACCGCTTCGCCCGAGCTTACTCGATCATCGCAATGCCGCGCACGATAATACGCGTGTCACAGCTCGCTGAAGCGCGTCGTCGATCGGCGGAATTCTGTCCGTAGTGCGTATACGGTATCGCGCACGCACAGTGTATTAGCCAACGGCGCTTGACGGCGCTTGACGGCGCTTGACGGCTAATTCAGTGGAACGTAATTGACAATCGGACGATGAGCGCTCGCTCTCGCACGGCGGCAGCGGCGACGGTGGCAGTGACAATTCACCTCTTCACCCCGTAACGGTGCGCTAGAAAGACTGACATCATGCGCAAGTCAGCACGCGCCGCTCCGGCCGCTCGTGATTCGTAATAGGTGATGCGCGGGGAAACGGAATCGACAGGGATACGGTAGGGATTTCTCTCCCGGCGCGCAGCGTCCAGTGTTGTTTAAAGGGGATCCTAATACCCCCGGCACACCAGCGCGACACGCGACACGCGAGAGATATCCAATGAGTCTACAGCTTTACCGATGTTTTCATTCCAAAGGTATACTCTCATTGGATATATATTCGCACTGCCGGAACTATAAAGTCATGTTCGAACTTTTGACGAAGTCACCAGAAGTCGCTGTTTTTTCAGCGCCCTCTAGTCTAGAGACTCTCTAATCAGAGACTGATTAGACCATAAGGTTTCGTCAAATTTCTTCGAGCAGGAAAGGAGCATAGGCCATCTCACTCCTCCACCAATAACCACCGGTGTGTAGACATCATGCAAGAAATTTGACGAAACCTTATGACCAGATTAAAGGGTCTCTAAGCGTATCGACATGTCTTTATACAGGGTGGTCCATTTAAATCAATCATTTGAAACATCTCGCTTATTTTTGATGATATAAAAAAACGTTTCAAATGAAAGCGGAAGAGTTTTGAGGGGGACGCATTTTGATCATGTTGGTTTTTTTTAGGTGGGGACGTCAAAAAGATATGAATGTCTCCACTTTTTTAAATGAAATTGTATGATTTTTTTTTATATAATATGATATTCCTCTAATTATTCTGCATATAAAAATATTAAGGTAATAATATCAAAAAACAAATAGTTACTACAAATAATTACAACTATGTGTTTTCTTTCCACCAACTGATTCTCATTATTCTGTTCATAAAAGTATTAAAGTACGATTATCAAAAAATTAATTATTTAATATTTTATGTCAATATGTGCCAAAATAAAATGTAAAATATCTAGTCAACTATTTGTTTTTTGATATTATTACCTTAATACTTTTATATGCAGAATAATTAGAGGAATATCAGATTGTGTAAAAAAAATCATACAATTCCATTTTTAAAAGTGGAGGTAACTTTTATATCTTTTTGATGTCTCTACCTAGAAAAAAAAACAATAATAATACATCCCCCAAAATACATCCCCCTCGAAACTGTTTCACTTTCGTTTAAAACATTTTTTTGTATCATCAAAAATAAGCGAAATATTCAAGATGTTCGATTCAAATGGACCATCCTGTATAGTACCACATCAATATCTCACGCACCTATGATACATGCAATCGTGCACATGATGTTCATGTCAATTTTTGTATAACAAATTCGTCGCAATAAAGCGTCTTAAGGTATAACCACACAAACTTGCATAGTCGCATAAACGTATACCTAACGCATAAAACATGAAGCATAAGGAAATCAACCAAAGTTAATTTTTTTATGCATTACGTATTATACATTATGCAAAAGTATGTGCTCCCTGCTGAAGACGCATAACATAATGCATAAGAAAATCAATCAATCAAAGTGCTTTCTTTCCTTCCTTTCCATGAAATAAAGGACTCTGATTGGTTGATTTTCTTATGCTTCACGTTTTATGCATTATACAAGAGTCTGTGTTCTCCGCTTAAGCCTGCGGCACACGATGCTTGTTTTCCTGTTCGATTGCTAGTTGGAATCTTGCTACTGTATTAACTGCGATGCTGTCAGTGCCAATCGTCAATTTCTATCACGTGACTTATTTTAACGCCGAAAATGAGCTTCAAGTGTCGGCATAAAAAGGTACTTTACTGCTTACGCTGTTTGACGCTTGCATGTGAATGCACCTGCAGGATTGACCCGTCAAGTGCACGATATAAGGCAACATGTGTCGATTGTTGGAAAGCTTCCTTTATAATCAAAATTTATGAAACTGGAATTATTGAGGAAAACAGTCACAAAAAAAGAATAGAACGGTGAATAGTTTTACGTCGTTCCGTTTTTCGTTATCATTCGTTCTCGTGAATATAGGATTTACGCGGCAGAAACAAGTGACATGGCAGAATTGTTGCTGGATCCAAATATCCGAGGTTGGGTATTTTTACCTATAGTAGTGATTACGTTTCTAGTCGGTATAATCCGCCACTATGTTTCGATATTGCTTGCTTCGCAAAAGAAGGTCGAGCTTCATCAAGTGCAAGATAGGTAAATGTTTAAATATGTGTCGATTAATTTGGAGGTTTCACGTGAAGCTTAATATTGGTAATTCTTCAGAATAACTTACTCACCTTCGATTTCGATGAAATTAGGCTCATTCGACGCGTTTTTGCGTAAAGTGAATGAATTTGGCAGAAAAAAGTTCGGAACTGCCCTACAAAGCGAGATATTGAGCGTTAAAGTTGACAACTATTGAGGTTAGGTCACCTCCAATTTCAACGCGTTTTTGCGTAAAATGAAAGAATCTGACAACTATTGAAATTAAGATATCTGTCATATGATATGTATAGACAGTAGTTTATTGGTTTCGTCTGCTGGGAATATTTTTCCAAAAAAACCTAACTCTAACCCAATCCATTTTTTTGTGCGAGATGGCCCTCACTTCGCGTGGAAGGTTGTAAACCTAGTAGAACTTTGCTTCTTGAATGTACAACTTTCTACGCGAAAGTAAAAAATGAGTTTAGTTAAAGTTAGGTTTTTTTAAAGTATCACAAAACGACATGGATTTACAATCTTCTACGCGAAATGAAGGCTACCTCACTGCCAAAAAATGCGCAGTATTTTGCAGCTGTGACATATTTCCTAATCTCAATAGTTGTCAACTTTAATCGCTCAATATCTCACTTTGTAGGGCAGTCCCAGACTTTTTTCTGCCAGATTCTTTCAACCTAATTTCATCGAAATCGAAAGTGAGTAAACTATTCTGAAGAATTACCTTAAAATTATTTACAATATTAAATATTTTGCAGTCAAGTCATGATACGCTCAAGGCTGCTCCGGGAGAATGGACAGTACATACCAAAAGTAGGTTTTATGACAAGAAGACATTTCTTCAACAACGAAGAGACTGGTTATTTTAAGACTCAGAAGCGTCCTCCTGTCTCCCAAAATCCTATGACTGATCCAAATATGATGACTGAAATGCTGAAGGGAAATGTGACTAATGTCTTGCCTATGGTACTAATCGGTGGTTGGATCAATTGGATGTTTTCTGGATTTGTGACAAGTATGTAGCATTGAAATATTATATAAATATTTATATTTATTAAGTATAATTTTTTCAAATAGACTTTGGACTTTTAACTAAATTTTTAACTATTATAAAATTATGTACACGTAATTTGACATAAGTGCTTCAATTCCAGCTAAAGTACCATTTCCATTAACCCTACGTTTCAAGCCAATGTTGCAACGGGGTATAGAATTAGTTACGCTGGATGCTGCATGGGTTTCTTCTGCCTCGTGGTATTTCCTCAATGTATTTGGATTAAGGTCCATTTATACACTTGTACTTGGTGAAAATAATGCTGCAGATACTACAAGAGTAGTACAAGATCAAGTATCAGGAGCTGCAATGTCTATGCCACCTGATCCAAAAGCAGCCTTCAAGTCTGAATGGGAAGCATTGGAAATTTGTGAACATAATTGGGCATTACAAGGAGTAGATATTGAGCTCATGGGTATCCAATCAAAAATGGACCTAACTGATAATATATATCATCAAGGCAAAGCAAATTAATTGATTGATTGATATTAATAATCAAATTATTATTTATTATACAAATTTCACAAAAACAAATTTATTTATATGTTAAATAACAATTTTTGCAGTATCTATCTATCTAAGATATCTATCTAAGATATAACATAAAAGTTATTGTTTTTTGTTTTTTAATAAATAAAATGGTAAAATATGATAATATTTTAATTTTAATATTATATTGTGATAACAATCTTAAGTATAAAATTGATGAGAGCAATATATAATTTTATTCTAGATTTTTATTCAAATTCCGCTAAATATATAAATCTGTTTTACAATAATTTAAAATTTCTGTTCACACTACTGTCTCAAATTGTGACATCAGAAGGGGAAATGTACAATACAAATTCTTATAAATTATACTTGAATTTGCAGTCAAGTCATGATTTATATTTGAAATTATATTTGAACAGAAGTATTTTTCAATAAAACAATATTTGGAATTGGTAGGATAAATTGATAAAATGTACCGAAAATTATCCTCTTATTTCATGAAGGATCATATTTATTTTTACACAAAGTATTTTCTGTAACTTGATCATTTGAAATATCTCTGTTGTTTTTTGATGATGCAAAAAAACACCACAAGAGAAAATTGTTTGATTCGAAAAGACATATATACAGGGTTGGCCATATTCGACGGAAAGATGTTTTTTTTTTCAATCATGGGAAAGAGATGTTAGATCGAGTAACGACGTTTCCCATGATTGAAAAAAAAACATCTTTCCGTCGAATATGGCCAACCCCAAAAAATTTTTCTTCAAGTCATATTTTTTGAGACTACAAGGTCACCTACTGTGTTTTAAATAGAATCATATGTATTAGAGATATAACAAAATCGATATAATTTAGGAGATATAAAATATGTTATTTTGGTATATTGATATAAAATAATAGTTAACTTGTAAACTATTTGTTTTTTTTATATCTATACTTTAATTCAGAATAATTGGAGGAATTATATTATGAAAAAAAATCATAACTCCATTTAAGGGGATCCTAAACCGAAGGCCGAACTTAATCAAGGTTGATAGTGCAGACTTTTTTTAATTCCAAATTCGATAATACTGACAGCTTTGATTCATTTCTTACATTATATTTTGTCTCACTCAACACATACATCCTTATGTAACATATTTCAGCGTTGCTATCGCAAAACAGCGCAACTACTACACGGAATTTCAACTCTGTTGACATTCTTAGGCTGCGGATTTAGACATGCGCTTTAAACTAGTCATACACACTTTCCGTAACTATAACAGTAACCATAAACACAATGTAGGTTTTCGCGTTGCTCGATTCAGTCGTCCGTAATCGTACAACCTATTCTACAATGATAGTAAGCAGTATGGTGGAAATAAATATAAAAGGTGAGCCATTTCCATGATTGCGCAGTAGCAGCGTGAATTTTGAGTAAAATTTGATTGGCTGTTCCAGTATACTAACGCTATTATAAGAAATTGCATATTAGATAACATTTGATTGGTTATTTCCAGTATTGCTATCGCCATTATGCGCAATGTTTTACCTTATATATTTCCACTATGATAATAATCAGTAGGAAGTAAGAAGTTCTTGCGCGCCTTATCTCATAATAAGCTTTGATTGGTTAGCAAAGTAAAGTAATAAGGTGTAAATGGGAATAATGGCTCCTATACATTGGACGCGGAAACACTTGCCGCGCGGCAGTCCAGTGCAGAAGCCATAATTCCGCCCATTTCGCTTACTCTCGGTCTTAATGCTTTACGCCATATTTTACTCTCTCTTACGATAGTCTTACTACTGCATTGTAGAATGGGCTTAATGCATGGTCTACAATGGGCAATAGCAGTAGTTGATTAAGGAGTAGGCGTAGAAATCGACCAATTATAGTTGAATGTGAGAAAAATAATGAACTATGATTAGTCAATTTCTACGCCTATTCTTTAATCAGCTACTGTTACTACACATTGTAGACCATGCATAAAGAGTCCTCTATATATATATTGGGTCATCTAAAAAGTATCCGCGGTACTTTGTCTAGATATATGACCATCAATACACATCTAGTGACAAAAAACCGCGGATACTTTTTAGATGACTCAATAGAAGTAGACGATCGTGGAGTCTTAAGTCATAGAAAACCAACTAATTACAATCAAATATAAGGAAAATACTCGATTAGAATTGATCAGTTTCCTACGACTTCTATGTAGACTCCACGATCGTCTACGACTTCTATATAGAGAACTCTTAAGGGGGATTTCACCTTTGCTGATCGTAGAATTAATTCAATTTTATGAATTTTTGAAAGAAAATTTATTATATACAGAATAATACGGGGTTTTGTATAAAATTATGCTTAAACAATAAAAAAAAATATTTTTTAATTAGATGAATATGCATTTTAATATCTCCAAATGACGATCGAATTAGGGGTCATTTTCAAAACACATCTCTATGACGGAAGTAATATTGATTCTGCAAATCATTTGAAATTTTTTTTTATTTTTATTAATTATATGAGTATCGCTATAGCATGAACTAAAATAATGTCAATTGCTCGAAATTTGTAAAAATAGTGGCATTAAAAAAATTAATGTTTTTTTCCTAAAAAAATTTGTTACTTTTTGTGAATAACAAATCGAATGTTTGTAAAATCATGATTATAGTTCGTGCCATATATAAAAGCATTAGAATCAAGAGAAAAAAAGAATTAAGTCGATACCTTAATCCATTTTTTAGTTATCAGTTCCGTCAGTTCGAAAAATGATTTTGAGAAAAACGTGTTTAAGGATCGACAAGAATCATAGGTCAAGTCCGATTAGAGTCCCTATAAGAGAATCGCGTCAATCTTATAGAAATTTTCATTGGTTTTGAAGTAAAATGGCGGAACCAATCATCGATGCTGTTATATCTCCACTTTTGAATAACGTGTGGTGATTTAGATTTTTAGAAATTGTGAGAATAGAATTTACGTTAAATTATATAATATTGACAAGTAGAATATATGTTAAATTATAAAATATTGACAGAAGTAGATTTGTTTTCTATAACTAAACTATAGTTTTACAATTCTATAGTTTCACATTTTTGGAATTGAAATAGTAATACGAAACAGTAATGAAATAACATTTTCATTTAATAATACTTATTTTAATAATACTTACTTATTTTATAGTTTAGCAGTTTATTTTTTTTTATTTTATAGTTTAGTTATTTACAAATTATATAATTTATCAATTTAACGATGGTAAGACATTTTATTTTACAATAAAATGTCTTGCTATCGTTAAACTGTTGTATATTGGTAATTTTAAACGCCCTTTCCACATTCCTCGATTTATAGCTCCCATATCCGATGTAATACTATGTACATATAGTCCAATCGATTCAGCCTTTTCTATTATTTCTTCAATGATAAGTTTTAAGCATGCACCATCAACTGCATCAGGAGTGTAATGATAAGCAACTATCTGTTTCCATCGCGAAAATATCTCCAAGCACAAAAATCAATCCATGCGTAATTAAGGGTTTTTCTCCTAGTATAGAAAAGCGAGGAAAGTACATAATATAAAGATAAACAGAAGTAAGAATAAATAAGTAAATAAGTAAGAAGTAAGTAAATAAATAATATAAACAGAATTCGTAGATGTACCAGGTTTGTGGATCGTAGCATATCCTAATACAATAATATTTACAATATTCATATAATAATACAATTTTCTGATGCATTCTGTTCACCAGGTACAAAATTTATTTTATTCAACGCTAGCATGCAATCTTTTTCTCCATCATCTTCAAAATGTGATACTTTATCTTTCAAAATTGTGAAGATGTCATCACAGATCTCTGGTTGAAAAATAATTGTTTCAATGCTCCTCTGGAGTATACGTAGAGGGCAAAAGAATATTTTGTTTAATAAGTTCATTATAGTCGCTTTTAAAACAAAAAAATTTTATCCTGAGCGCTTTTTTTATTGTTTCCTCAGACCATTTATATACTCTCTTTCTAGAAGAACTTGTTTGCAATCATTAGATTTGATCATTGTTAAAAATTGTATGTAGTATTTTCCATGTAGATTTTCACACTTTCTTTAATGCGTACTTCCTTTTGGCTCTTTAATTTTCTTATACACTGATTTGATTGTAATAATTATTACATGACTTACTTCACAAATATGTGAACTTTAAACAGATTGCCAATTTTTATGATTTATTTGTGACACTCATAAGGCCTTCCGTTCTTCATTACATGGAAAGGGTCGTAGCGAAAAGCCTTTTTTGTTATTGTTGTGACAGGCACACAACAATCAGTCATGTTTTCTGCGAAGAAGACATTAAAATTATATGATTGACAAGATTAGAATGTCACTTTCGACTACATAATATTTGTATCTTTTATATATTTCTAATTCGAAACCTTTATAATAATGTATAGGCTTACCTACTTATAATTTTGATATGAAATGATTTCGCGTCACTTTATTGCAGTCAAAGCTTCCACCGGCCACCATGATTCTACGCTCTTCGTAGTATAAGATCTAGTGTCCCTTTCTACTAGAGAGAATCCCAATTAGATGCCATTTTACTTCAGATTGTCGCGACTCTTTTATAAGGACTCTAAGTCTGATTTGACTTTGGAGACCTCACTTTGGACCTTGAAGCTCTGAATTCAGGGCTGCCAACTTAGATAATATAATCTTTATCTTCTTATGGGTTGTGTATTCATATACGTACACTAATATGATTTCTGTCGAGAGCGAACGAGACAGCGAAAGAGAGCGAGAACTGACATTCTTGCTCTGGTCGCTGTACAAGCGACCGAAGACCGAAAATGCTTTCTCAGCAATCTCGACCGCTCGGTGTATATCAGTATAAGAGCATTCGAGATTACATACAAGTTTTAATAAATTTTAGTAATCATATTCCTTTCCTATTAATGTATAATAGCAAAATTGATTTCAAAACGCGATAGTTTACAAGATATTAATTATTTATAATTTTCCATGTGTTATACATTCTGTCAAAAAAGTACCGGGAATTGATCATTTAAAAAGCCCGCTTAAAGGAATTGTCAAAATTCTTTTTGTCGCTAAGTTGGCATAACTGTCCTCTATACTGACGCGGAGTTGGAGTGCCATCTGTCATTTAATGTGATTATAGTGCTCGATTTTATCAGTTCATCTCAAGTGTGTTTTGCGATTTTTACAATGAATGAAAACATCGAACAAAGAATTTGTCTCAAATTTTGTATTGCAAATGGAATTTCGTGTGCCGAATCGCTGAAGATGTTACAGAAGGCTTACGATGAATCGACTTTATCAAAAACACGTGCATATGAATGGTACAGTGCATTGAAAAGCGATCGAGATGTGGTGAAAAACGTCAAAGTCGATCAAAAGTCAAAGTGATGTTAACTGTTTTCTTTGATTGTCGTGGTGTTGTGCACTCGGAATTTTTGCCAGAAGGTCAGACGGTAAATAAAGAATATTATCTTATGCGGCGTTTGAGAGAGCAAATTCGTCGAAAAAGGCCAGATTTGTGGAAAACAAACTCATGGATTTTGCACCATGATAACGCACCATCTCACAAGGCTATCATTGTGAACGAATTTCTGACCAAAAACTCAACAAATATCATCGAACAACCACCGTATTCTCCAGATATGGCTCCGGCTGACTTTTTTCTCTTTCCAAAACTCAAATTACCACTTCGAGGCACTCGTTTTCAGTCGATAGAAGACATAAAAGAGAATTCGCGGCGAGAACTGAAGTCGATTCCGGAAAATGCGTTTAAAAAATGTTTTGATGATTGGATTATTCGTTGGCATAAATGTATTATTTCGAAAGGAGCCTACTTTGAAGGCGATACAATAAATTTGAATGAATAACTATTTTGTGTTTTATTGACCAATTCCCGGTACTTTTTTGACAGAATGTATATCACGTTCATAAAGGTAACATGTATTTTGCGTTAGGTGCGCGTAAGGTGCGAAATCAATAAACTGGAGATCCCACGTTCAAATCCTACGTTCTTTTTTTTTCACATATATTTTCTAAAATAAAGTTATTAATAAACATATCAAAGCGAACATATTTTTATATAATTATTGAATTTATACGTACACTTTAAAAGTTTTAAACCAACCAAAATATTGTCAAACAAAAACAAAATATAGTCAAACGTTAGAATAAATATAAATAAAATTACTGAAATCATATCAGAGGTTGGATATAATAATATAAATAAATAAATATTATAAATAAATTAAATCTTCATTGTGTCAGTGAGTAGTAAAAAATTCAATCTAAAACTACTCCTTTGTTCAAATGCAAAAAAAATGGAATTATGAGTTAAAGTTATAATTACGTTATATATAAAGTCTAATGATTGATGTTTCTTAGCCAAAATTGAATGTCCTGAAGTACATCTATATATACGAGGGGTATCCAGAAAATAAGTTCTGTTTTTTTTTACAAATAAAGTTTTTATTGAAAAAATCTAAAATTTACATGGATAATACTTGACAACTTCTAGTCTTTTTCTACATAATTCCC